ATTAAAAAAAAAAAAAAAACAAAAAAAAAAAAACAAAACTTCGTAACCAACCGTTCTATACGCTATCTGTCTAAGAGGACAGCAAACCAAATGTACTGTGCTTTCTACAGCCCTACCAAAGAAGCCTACAAACTAAGGGCCTACTCACACTAGGGCGGGCCTACTCACACTACACCCTTTCAAAATTAGCTAAGAGATTAAATGGTTGGGCCACGAGGCAGGGAAAGTAGCAAAAGCAGCAAATGGGGTATCAAATGTCAGCGGCCCGGGGGGGAGGGGAGGGGCATTTTACTACCACCTCTGGAGGTGGTAGCAATTTTTTTTCTTTCAATTCAAGAGTTCGTTAAAGGAAATTCGAAACGAACTGTGTTGGGAATTTGGGCCTGGCGGGTTGAGGGGAGGGGCATTTTGCTACCACGTCGAAAGGAATTTGGGGGTCGCGCTGTGGTCACAGGCACCATTTTGGCACTTGACAGAAAGTCCGGCTCTTTTTTTTGTTTTTTGTTTTTTTTGGAAAATTGCTCCACTCTAGTGGGGAGGCTCACCTGCTGGAAAAGTCCGGCTCGTGTCTTTTGTGATTTGCTGCCGCTATGTGGAGGGACGGGGGGGGGGGAGAGCGGGGGGGTCATTTCAGCAAAATCGGGATAGCAAACTTCGCAGATTTTGCTTCTATGCCACCGCTGTGTGAGTACGCCCTAAAAGTAATTACCGCAAACAACAACTCCAAGTTACAACTAAGGGCGTGGCTCCACTACTCTCGACATGCACAAAAGACAAGAATCATGGCGGTGTATCTTTCCGTGTTCTAGCGGAGGATTCACTACCGTTACAACTAAGGGCGTCGCTCCACTACTCTCGACATGCACAAAAGACAAGAATCATGGCGGTGTATCTTTCCATGTTCTAGCGGAGTATTGGGTCTCGCTCCACTACTATACACTCTCCGAATTTGTAGAGTTCGGCATAGCTCCACTTACTGTAATGGCTGTCAGATATCGATCGGAGATTGCACTCTCCGTCGGTGTATAGTTCCCAGCCTGCAAAAGTCGTTACTCGGATACTCGAAGGAAACCTCGGACCCGCCGCGTTTTTGTATGGTGAACCTCAAGTCTGGACGGACAAATTGCTGTCTTCTAGTGCTGTTAGGGTGTTGCGTAGTGAAGTCAGGAACTGGAGACTTTGTATAGCAGATAGTAAGTGGAGCGACGCCGGGTTCTATACATTTTTTCGCGGTCTGACAGCTATACGGCAACTATACGAAATTGTGTATAGCGGACAGTAGTGGAGCGAGACCCATTGACTCTTGTTTTGCACATTTCGAGAGTAGTGGAGCGAGGCCCTAAGTCTCGACATCAACAAAAGACAAAAGTCAAGACGGTGTATCTTTCGACGTTCGAGAGGAATGGAGCGAGGCCCGTTCGGCCCAGATCCCCCTCTTCCCAAATATCTGAAAAAGACAAAATGGCAGCATTCGTTCTAGGGGAAGATATACACGCGATTTACCACATTCGTTCATATTATTAGTCAGTGAAGCGGGGTCCGCAAAGGGCTTTGGTGAATCGGGGCCCATAAACGAGAAGGCTTGGAGTAAGCGAGGCCATAAAGTAGAAGGCTTGAGGGAAGCGACGGCCATAAACTTGAAGGCTTCTCGGCGGTACTTCTTTCTCTTAGAAAAAAGGATCACTTCTCCGGGCATACTCACACTAGGACTTTTCCACGAAGTTCTGGACGGGATTGTAGTCAGATTCATCCAGTTCTGGCCGTAACTGCGGTCAGATTCGTTCTGGAAAATGCTAGTGTGAGCATGTCCTCAGTGTCGCAATTTCAGGTCATGCTCACACATTCAGGGGGGTGGGCGGACATTTATAATTTCAAGACTTTGGTTGGAACCTTCTGTGCCGTAAGCGCCTGAATCTGGACGTGGTTTACGCAGAGGTTCCGAAAAACAGAGCAAACGGGATATATTCTGCACATGCCCTCAAAGACGTTCTGATTCAGGCATTACACCCAATCCCCCCTCTTGCTACTTTGACCTGGGAAACACAACGAAAGAAAAACGCTTATGGGGAATTTACAACAAAAAAACAGTCGTTCACTCGTCACAACGCAAGTCGCCCGGTCACTGGTAAAGCCGCCACCTGCCTCAGGGCGTCCTCACACTAGGACGTCTTTACTTGTTTTTGGACGTAACCGCGGTCAGATGCATCCACGTCGGGTAATAACTGCGCCCAGATGCATTTAAGATAGAGCTAGCGTGAGTACGCCTTCCGAAGAGAGAAGGAACTGAACGCTGTAGAAAGTACTGAACGCGTTACGCCGTAACGCACAGAACGCGCCTCTGTCCTGACCGCAGAATAACAGAGAGAGTATGTCCCCGAGAAAAACTGCCCGCAATGCGACCTCCCCCAGCAGTCAAATTCCCTTCCCCCCGCCCCCGCCCCCCCAACTAGTCCTTAGCAGACAACGAACAACTCGTCGTTACTCCGATGGTTTTAATTTATTTCTACATTTATTTCTATTTCACCATAAGTAGCAGGGCATCCGACCGACTAACCACCGCCCCGATACGGCTGTGAGTCGTACAC